CTCATTCTTCTGCATTTCCATTTTCAAATTCTCCAATTTGTCTGCTTGATTCATGGTCCTGACATTCCATGTTCCAATCTTGTAGCCATAATGTTCCTTCTGATCTTCGCACTTTTTCTTGTTGTAACGCCTGCATGACATTTCCTCTAGAAACACTCCCCCCCGGAGATCCAATTGGGGGAGTAGTTTACCTCCGGATTGTTTTGTCTCCAGAGGAAACATCTCGCATACATGGTATGTCTGTTTTTGGAAAGAGACTATCCAGGAAAAGTGATAATGTGGTAGTTTTTCCATTTGCTGTCCACATCACAGTACAGCAGCCGTTCAAACCACTCNTTGCTTTCCACATCGCAGTACAGCAGCCATTCAAACCACTCTGGTCACGCCTGTTGCTATACGAACTTGAACCATCTCGAGCATCATTTGCTCTGTGCTTCAAGTCGCTACTGATGACGCTGCTTCCGGCATCAGTTTTTGGTCTCTCTCTTCGTCTGATGCCTACCCTTTGACCTGTCCAGCAAGGGAAGCCCTGCCAGTAGCTACGCTACCGCTGGTATAGCTCTCAGGGTCCTTGGCATACTCAAACCCCCTCACCACGATAAGGTGGGGACACCAACGAGACAAAAAACCACAATGTTTCAGCGACTGCTCTGTCTCCGTCCTCAGGTGGAAGAGACAAGATAGACTTACTCAGTTGGTATAGATTGGATTGATTGGATAAATTGAGACTAGCTCTTTCTAAGGGGACCAACTGAGTAGATCTATCTTGTCCCATCCACCTGAGGACAGAGACAGATCCAGTCTCCGAAACATTGTGGTTTTTTGTCTTATATATACCAGACAATGGATAGAGCTCAAAACAAACCTTATTCAGTTCAGTATTCAGTATTGAGGGGGTGGGTTTCCCCATGCACCACGACTAATAGTCTATTGTACATCCCCCTTTTAATTTCTACAGTCTCCATCCCCTACTGGTACTGGTGCTTACTATCAGCCCTTTTCTGCCAGCGAGGTTCCAACCTTCTACTTACAGCGGTATCTAATAGTTAGTCCCTTTCTGTCAGAGAGGTCCCACCTCCTCTGCCAGTGGTACCAATACTTCCCCCATCTACCGGAGGCATTGGAAACTACTTTGGGCAGGAAATTTTTGGCCAAATTTTGCTCGGAGGCCTCCTAGAGACATGAGGTTCTTTTATGTGCTGTAAATCTACGACACAGGACCCACGGCTTAAAGTCCCTCCCAGAGGACTTGTTCCCTGAATTTTTCCGCCCTTAAAAATTCCACGACCTCCGCCGGGTTTGAACCCGCGTACCTTGAGTCATGAGGTGGGAACGTTACCCCTAGACTACGGAGGCCGCTAAAACAAACCTTATAGTTCTGTACAGCATACACCATCATCAGAATCCTTTAAAGTCTATCTATGAGAAGTGCTTACTAAATATTCAGTGCAATATGTTGGTTGGTTTCTCTCAGCTCACCTCACAAGTGACTTCACAATCTGAATAACTCTATGACTACATACAATACAGACAGTTCAGCAAACCTTAAGCATCATCAACCTGGGAATGCTGCCTAATGGTCTCACTATGCTTCAACTTCCTACCAAGACAAATGCAGATACTACTCTTGTACAGTAGGATTTCTGTCACACTGCTCACACTGAAAACAAGTCTCAGTGGGGGTATTCTTTGTTTTGTCCAAACCGCATTCATTAATATTTCTGATTTTGACATGTTATATTACAGTATATTTAATTAAATGACTGTTTTTTAACTTTATGGGTCAAACTATTATTCATGTTCTTGTGCTTCTTACATCTGGTCACTGTAGGGCAGATACTTGTATTGGTATATTGGAAAAACATGTTTTTTGTAACATTTGTCCCAGACAGGTATCTAAGGTACAAGCAGCTCTTGGTGGTTTGAAGTTAAACAGCTGTGTTCCATAGCATAAACAGGAGAAATATGGAATTAACTAGATCCCTATCCAATATAGATGAAAGTAATATGAAGTTAGGCTGCACCATAGCTCAAGTGGTAAGTCACTGGCTTCTCATCGTGGCGACCCAGGTTCAATCCCGGGTCTGGTCAAGTGGGATTTGTGGACAAAGTGGCTCTGGGGCAGGTTTTCTCCGAGTACTTCGGTTTCCCCTCCCAATCTTCATTCCACCAACTGCTCCACAATCACCCTCACCTATCATCTGGGGCTGGTACAATAGGCCAGAAGTGGCCGCAGTACAAGGGAGTTAGTCCCACCCCACTAGAAATTAAAAAAAAAAAAAAATATGAAGTTATTGCTGCACATCATTTGATAGTGTGTTATGGAAAACAGTGAAAACTTTCTTCTTCACACATACCGCTACTTGGGTGACAGCCTGATTCTGCTGACGCTCTGGGAAGTGGACATTTTGTAGGAACTGAATTTGTTCAGCTTTATCATGTTGCCTTCTTGCTCCCAAATGATTGTTCCCAGAACCTTGGGGAGACACAAACGTGTTCCTGATGGAGTCCAGGGCAGTAACATTTGGATCTGCTTGTGGGGGCAAGTTTGACTGGAGGAATGGAGCTGGCGAAATAACACCACCCGGAACATAGCTATCAGGTAAGCTGTTACCTACAGAGTAAACAGATAAATATCAGGAATCAATAAGAGGTTTTTATTTTACACAATTATAATGAAAATAAAAATCTAAGCATGGAAATTCCATACAGGAACCCTGATACAGTAAAAGGTAACAGCAGAAATTATTACTGTATGTATTAAATTTGTACCACTGAAAATTTCTATGTATAGTATAGATGTCCCAAAATCTCCTCCATATTTTGATGAAATAAGGTTAATTTCAAAAAAATTTCTTAATAACATGATTATATCTATATTTTTATACAAAACATAGGTATCTGCAATGTGTTATAATTGTTTTTATAATTTCTACTGTTTTCTCTTCAGATCCATAATTCATTACAGATGTGTATGAATATATTTTTGCAGCAACATGTTGCATCAAAGGGATGAATTTTCATGATATTATGGAAATATTTTCAAGAAGATTTCATAAACCCGGTTCCACAAACAATGCAATTCATGTACTGACGATTAAAATCAAAAGAACTGGATCTGTGCATGACACAAACAGATGTGGATGCCCAGGAATGGCATGTGAAAGCACTGAACCTGTTCGCCAAGTGTTTAAAGAGGATCAGAAATTATCAGTTATGAATCCATCAGGAAGACTGGCCGTGCCATAGCTCAAGCGGTTAGTTGCTGGCCTCCCACCACGGTGGCCCAGATTCGATCCTGAGTCTGGTCAAGTGGGATTTGTGGTGGACAAAGTGGCACTGGGGCAGGTTTTCTCCAAGTACTTCAGTTTCCCCTGCCAATTTTCATTCGACCAATTGCTCCACAATCACCCTCACCTATCATCTGGGGCTGATACAATAGGCCACAAGTGGCCACAGTACAAGGCACTCAGTCCCACCCCACTAGCAATAAAAGAAATCAGGAAGACTGAATATACCTTCAACTGTAGTCCACAGAATCTTGTGATCCACTCTGAAAAAAAACCGAATGACATTCAACTGCTACAAGACTTGCCTGAAGAGGATTAACCAAGACAAGCAGATATGTGTGTGCAGAACTGGTTGATCAAATCCAAAATGATATTTTAATGGACCACATTCTGTTCGGTGACAAGGCAACTTTTCATGTCCGTTGCAAAATCAATCAACATAACTGTCATATCTGCGCTAATAAAAAACCAACTGAGTTCAATGACCGGGAAAGAGACTCGCCTAAAGTGGATGTGTGGTTTTGAATGACAAATCAAATAATTTATGAGCTTTATTTTTTGCAGAGGCGATTACAGGAACCGTTTACCTTGATATGCTTCGGCAATTCCCTGACACCTAACTTCTTCAGGATGGAGCACCATGCCACTATTGGGTGGTGGGGTGGCGTGGAGGACCTAGACCTTGGGGTGGTGGACTCTCCGGATTTAACTTCATAAGACATTTTTGCCTGGGGTTTCATAAAATCCAAAGTGCATCACAGAAACATTCAAGATTTACCTAATCTTCGAAATCGTATTAAGCAGGCAGTTCTGACATCAACCTATAAAATGTTTGAAACGTGTTCCTCAGTGCAGCTAATTGATTTGAAATTTGTGAACACTGAGAGGGGGGGGGGACACAGTAGCATAGCTGGTTGAGGCACTATGCTATAAGCCAGGTCACTGGTTCGATTCCTGATGAAGTTATTAAATTTTTTCAAACAACCTAATCCTCCCAGCAGCATTATGGCCCTAGGGTCAACTAAGTCTCTAACAGAAACGAGTACCAGCAATCTTTCTGGAAGTCAAGGGCAACCGGCATCTAAGGATGACAACCTCACCACAATATGTGAGCCGAATGTCTACAAAATGTGGAAGCCTTGACATCCCACAAAACTGTGGGTCTCCACGGCCTGTTTCAGTGATAGTTTTACTTTTCTTACACTGATGAGGTACATGGTGAAAATAATAATTACAGTTTTGAGCTATGAATGTTATTTTTCGATTTAACACCATACTTTCTATAAAAATAGACATATAATCATGTCATTAAGAAATTCGTTTGAAATTTACCATCCTTCACCAAAATAGGCAGGAACTTTTGGGACACATGTTAGAAATGCCAGGGCTGTTTGGGGTAAATACTTTTACACAGAAAAATCTAAAACATTTCCCTTAACCGTTTTGTGCGGTCATTTAAATTCCGCTGCCGTGTCTCTCCGGCGGTAATATGCTCAGCCGTCCATTTAAATTTTGCTCGAAAATGATTTATTCATCATTGTTCTTAAATTATATGAGATAGGAACATGAAACTTTCACTAAAATGATCTTAAAACGTAGTTTTATAACTTTGCCTTATAATATGAGCGCCCGGTATCTCGGCAATGGAAGCAGTTGGTTTAGAATTTGAGCAGTGTATTGTATGCCTTGAAGCATGAAACTTTCACTAAATCATCTTAAAAGATGGTTTTATAACCTTGCCTTATAATATGAGCGCCCGGTATCTCGGCAAAGGAAGCAGGTGGTTCAGAATTTGAGCGGAGTGTGGTACGCATTGAAGCATTCTACTATACACAGCGCTGTCTCACATTCACCACACCAGTACTGCGTATCTCTCATTTGGCTCTTTTTTCCGTAAACCAAACATCTTCTGTGCGGCCTTGCCTTCTTCCCCGTGGGGGGAATACAAGAATTAATGTCTCTCCATGAGTCATATCGCTAGCCAGATTAGCTGCAGTAAATTCAACCTTTATGTTATCATAACAAGTGTTGGTGCTTCTGCGTTTCATTTTCCATCCATTTTGGCGGCATAAGACGTCGTAGGGGTGACCACAGAATTCATGAAGTTATTCTAAGAACTGGCTGGTATGTAGTGAACGAAAGCAGAGCTTAGCTGGCTCAAAAAAATATTTATGGTCATCCCTCGAAACGACCACCAAGGTCAGTACGATAAAATGGAGTCAACTGGAGCGATAATACATGAAGGAATGAGTTCTTTTCCCTCCCCCACACACACCCGTATCGTCACAGGGGGTGACCACAGTGTTCTGCCTTAATTTGTGGCGTTTTTCTAAGAACTGGCTGCCATGTACTGTGCGAAATCAATCGATCTTGCAAGAATAAAATTTGGACATCCCTCTTCTAAGAATTCCAATTGAGTGTGTTAGTGTGGCCAGCTCAGGGCAATATATTATAAACACAGCACATATCACGTCTCTGCTGTTTATAACTTCATAGGAAAGAAAACACGCCATTCATAACAGTTTGAAGGAGGAAACCACTACCAGAAGCAACACGATTTTGCTGCAAGACAGGCACATGTAACGATGACTTAGTGCAGCTAAACAAATGCCTCATTAGATACGGTTCTCCTGACAACAGGCCAGCGAAAAATCTAACAATCTACAGCAAAACCATCAATTATTATGGGCGTTATAATATAGGTGTGCAGCTGGACGAAACATAGACGTCGAACCCCCGCAGACGATTTAAATACCTTGACGAAACATACACGTCAAACCACGCTGAACGGTTAAATGACATTCAAACAATGCTGGTATGTATGTAAAACTTGAAAAACCCATTCTTTCCTTTGCACAACAGTATGTCATATTTGATTCCACCTACTCACAGGAACACTGTATCAACTGATTAACAATGAACTAATTTCTTCAACTCTGTAAGATCTCAACACAGGTACCATGATCCAGTCTAACGGGTACATGGAGCACAAAGGGTTAATATGTAACAATAACTGTGATATTTTGATAGTAAATCATTCTTTTTCTTACGACAAAGTGTTAACATGAGTAAAAAAAGTAAAGCTATCCCTGTACCAGGCCGTGAAGGCCCATAGGGTTGTGAGACATTAAGGGTCCCACATTATCTAGACAATCGGCTCAAAGATGGCAGTAAAGTTGTCAGCCTTACGCGCCGGCAGCGCTTTACTCCCCAAGAAAATTATTTAATTAATTCCTGGTACTCATTTCTGTTAAGAGGCTGAGTTGACCCCAGGGCCATAGTGCGGCTGGAAGGATTAGGTCACTTGAAAAAAATCCAGTGATCTCATCGGGAAGTGAACCCGTGACCTTCTGGCCTGTAGCATAGCATCTCAACCAAAAAGTGGTAACATAAAACAAACCAAATGGAAATGATGAGATATATACCAAGTACAGTGAACTCTGGACTTAAGATTTCATCTGGGAGCAATAAACATTAAACTAACAGAAATCTTAGCTGGAGGAAATTAAACACTGTGATTACTGATTTTGGATCAATGAAACTTAACATTAAATTGACTAAAATCTTAAATCTTACAGAACATTCAAAGGAGGTTCTACTGTACCGTAGTACATGTCATCCACTACTCACAGCTAAAAAAGATAATTTGAAGTAGTCATCATCATTATCACTGTTCATTCACTCCACATTACCATGCCAGCTGCTTTGATAATTTATAATTTTTGTATATTATGGAAAATATATTTAACTGCTGTCTTATGTCTCAATCGTATAGTCAGTCTGACATCACAAAGGGACAATCTAATTGTAACAGAAAATGCCAACTGTTTACAATATGTTTCAATTTTAGACATTATACAAAAAAAAAATAACTATGTGGCCTGTAGTCCGCAGGTGAACTATACCGACCGAACGACTGCAGCTTGTCAGTGAAAGTAGTGCAGTGTCCAAAATGAATGTAACAAATATAGAAACTGAAAATTATTCCCAATGAAGATACATGCAAGTGGTTTGCTGTGAGAAGTACAGAACTCGCTAAGTGTTGTGCCTGCAACAGTTGGTACCACCACTGTGAATGCACAATAGCTATCAATTGGTTTGTGCAAAATCATTCACATCACAAGAAAAAGTTGAGTGCTACAGGCAGGCAGAATATAAGTTTCCAATGATTGTTCAGCCCACGTTTTTTAGATGTATGGCTGTGTTCCACAAGCAAACAAACAAACAATTGTTAACTGCCACCAGTATTTGCTAAAACAAATGAGATTTGAGCAGCACAGTGCAAACAGTAGACTGCAGATAACACCTGAAAAGTTGAAGCAATTTGGGAAGCTTTTGAATGAAGTTCACCAAAGGTGAATGAGCCCTAAACTGCGAATTCCTTGTCATCAATCCACAATGTTGAGCGTAAATGGCTAAAACTCAAGGCATACAAATTGCAGTTGCTTCAGAAAATGCAATAAGATTACTTCATTGACACTTCACTTCTTGGATAGGCAACAATAAAAACTACCTGAACAGGACCTGCTTCCATGACAAAGCTACTTTTCTCATCTTGGGTAATTTAACTGCTATAATTGCCACATTTTTGGATATCAGAATCCTCATAATGTGAAAGAACATGAATGGGATAACTTGAAACTGAACACATGGTGCGAATTAACCCATGCTGGAGCAATCTTCCACAGAAAAGAAAAACAGTGGCAGGTGCTGTGCTGTGCCACAGGTACCTGATGAGTAAGTTTTCTAGCAAGATAGGGCACAACATTTATGGCCATCTGTCACTGAATCCCTCAGTGAGTAGTTCACAGAAATGTGAAATGGTCGAAGTCACCCCACCTCCTCTTTAGTTTTCTGTATGGGGATATGTCAAAGACTATATTGGACCAAAGCCAATCATCAGCCTAATCTGCACCACAGACCACTGATGCAGCAGCGTCCATAACACCGGAGATGTTGAGAAACATATGAGCAGAGACAGAATATCAGATGGATGTCTGCCATGCTGCAAGGCGGACATGTGAAATCTAATGATGTGACAATGACCTCAAATGGCTAGCGTGTACTTTCACTGGGAGCAAAGTTATTCAGTTTCTCCATCAGCTGTGTTCATTTTGGACACCCTGTATAGTGCTGAATGAAGAGGAGATATGATAATGAATGGCAAGTAGGTGCTTGAAAGGAAGTGCATGTTCTACTTTGATGTACAACCCGAATTTCTTATAGAGAAACCGAGCAGGGCATGAAAAACTAAAGACAAGATAGAAAGTAATATTGGTGAAATTTGTACCTGCTCTCTCCTGAAAAACATCACTATACCAACCTGCTTGTAATAAGGACTGACTGACGACTTACATTTTTACCTACTCTTACAGGTATGCAACACAATTCAAGGTATACAGAAATGTTCAAAAACCTGGACTAGCTGGAGAAGGTCCCTGTGAAGTGGGTGTGAAAGGCCTTGGTTTGATTCCTGTGCCACCTGGAAGAGGATTTGCATCTAGTCTTGAATCAGATGATTGTGGTAGTGGCTGTGGTGGTGGTGGTGGTGGTGACAGTGGCTGCGGTGGTGCTGTTATCTTCTTCTTACCAGATGCTGCAGCCACACTGGCAGGCCACCCAACTGGTGTATTCTGACCAGTTCCATGAACAGAGAACATGCTACCAGGTGCAGGAGGAGACACAAGAGGATAATTGAGACTCCACGGATTCAATGGAGGTAAAGGCCCACCTGCTTGTGGATACATCAGAGGAGGTCGCAGTGGATAAAACGATGGGTTTGATGGTTGATGCGGTGGATAATAGTAGACCTGCCATGGATATACATTGGGAGCTAGGTAGGGAGGCATAGGATGCTGGGGACCTGGCGGGAAATGCAGCGAAGGAAGTAATCCAGGGCCAGCTCCTCCATATGGTCCTAGAAGAGATGGTAATCGAATGTAAGGTTCTCCTTGATACTGACGAGGGACAAATTCAGGTGCCAATGGATTCAGAACATAAGTCTTCTTCAGTTCCACACCATCCAGCTGGCTGCGCAAATAGGACCACGTGATACCAAACAGGCTTTCGTGCTGGTTGCAGATCTCAATGAATCTCTCCCACACTTTCCTAACAAAACAGAAATATTAAAAGAAAGTTAAAAATGGCAATACAAATGCATCACAAAAAACTGTTAACACTGGAACTCCACCCTATTCCCATAACCTTTATGGTTTCTTACTGGTGCCCCATGCCTTTAGATAAGAGACTAAAGGTGACAGATGTGACAACAAAAAAGCAGATTGTAAACTGTCAATATGTGGGAGTGGAATTAATGGATATTCAGTGTATAAGGTGTGGAACATTTGTGTTCCTGTACCTTCAGTTTAGTGTATTCAAATGTCCATTCATATAAAACCAAGCCTTGTCTGAACCAAACATAACTTAGGATCAAATGCAACAAAATCAATCAATATCAATAAAGATTTAATATCATACCACAAATTCTACAAATGTTTAAATATTTTCTTCTTTCACAACCTGCCTAGCTTATGGCACAGACAACAAAGGAAATGCGCAGTACTGTTGCAGGTCAACACAAACATCTATCGCACCTGCTTTCTGATGATCAATGCCAGGAATTAATGGACAAATCAGTATGCTCTTGTCTCTCATAATATAGCTTCTTCACTTCCTTATGTCAAGGCAGACTGACTACTACTGAATAAATGGGAGTGGCACTTTTCAAAATTGAAAGCATGTGGGAGGCAGAAGCTGTCATAAAGTTGAACTGTTCTTATAACTGGGACTTCCCCTCCAAATATGTTGTATGTTGGGTGGCTTAATGTAATCTGTATCAGTCATACTGTTTATGTTACTCATATTAAATTAGCAATAATATGCAACAATTTAAAAGTGTATCAAACAAGGGGGAAATATAAGTTACACAATTATTTTTATTTGATCGTCCTTTCTATACACTGAATGAGTTTCTTCAACAGGGACATGAGGAAGCATAGCAAGGTTTTTTTAATTAACAAAAAAAGAGACGAAAAGGGAATTGTAGTAGTTATTGTTATATTTTTAAAAATTTTAGTGATGTTGTAAGGCAAGTACAGTTTTATTTTTAGTCTAATACATTCTAGGATTTTAGAGCTTTTAACAATGATGTATTTAGTGAGTTGACTTGTTCAAGTGTTGCAGCTGTAACAGTATGAATGCAAATAAATATGAATATGAATATGAATATGAATGAACCAGATTCAAAATGAAAGTTATAAATTATGTTGAAAACAACTCATCTTCTGATCCATATTATGTACTAGTAACTTTCCTGTCCTCCAACATGTAAAATGAAACATAGAAAGCAGTAATCACATATTTTAAACACCACGACTTTCGGACATGAATATGATTTTGTTAAAAGGAAAAGTGCAAGTTACATAAGCAAATATGGTAACTTCTGTAATTGGTTTCATCATCAGTCCACAACTGCGAACAGTTTTTTTTCTTTCTTATATGAAGTGTGACTTTATTTTAACACAAACACACAAAACCAAATAGACTGAAGGACAGAAAATCCCGATCACACAAAATTCTGATCTAACACTGAATTAAAACATTATCTGTTTCATAAAAATCTCATAAGCAACAAAAATTAAGAGGCAGTCAATCTGGAAAGAGAACCAGGTAGATACTGGTTCATTAATAACAGAGTATTTTACAAGTAGTTACTATAGGATTCTGACGATGGTGTATAACACACTGATATGTTGGGTGGGGTCATGGACCTGGTTATGAGTTTAGTTTCGTGGCATAAATTTCTACAGATCTACCTATCCTGGTTCCACGCTTGTAAGTGTTTGCTACAATTTGTTATGAATATTTTTCTTATTAGCTCTCATGGACTTAGCCTGGTCTCAGGTTTTTTTATAATCTTCATGTGTTTGTGATATTGGTTTGTCCAGTGATTGAGGCTAGCTATTTCTAACGAACCCAACTGAATAGGTGTTTTCCTTCACCTGAGGACGGAAACAGATCCAGTTTCCGAAACCTCCTGTTTTTATTTGTTATCTTAAAAACCAGGACGATGGATAAAGTCCAAAAACCCAACATATCAGAGTATTTTACACTTAACAGAACTTTTCAAGAAGCCTGCAGACTTTATCTATAGAACATCTACTAATCTTGGAAGCTAGTCTATACATGTACATTTTGAGCCTGTTTACATCTTCCAGGAAGCTTCCATGATGGGCTGATGTGTAAGATTCTTCATATTTAGGTTTTGAATATAAAATTTTTCTGAACAATTGCAATACATAAGATAATAATAAGACTGGTATTTAGTGACTTTTAAAGCATTTTATAGCAATGTCTAACACATTTTCTGATTCATGCTAGATTCGAATATTCAGCTCTAACAGCTGTAAAACCACGTAGGTTGTACCAAAAGTCATGAGCAACTTTTTTTGCATGCAACCTGGGAACAGCAGACGAAAGAGAGTACGGTGGTAGGTGGAACCAGCTGTTGTGTTAACCTTGAGTGTCTTGTGATGTCAACAGCTTGCATCACATGACCAGTATCACTCCTAACAAAATGACCGACGACCATATGTCATTTTGCCAGCGTGCTGTCATCGAATTTCTTGTGAAAGAGGAAATCCCTGCTGCAGAAATTCACCAGACTTCAGTGTGCTTATGGAAGTGTGTGTGTGGGTGCAAGCAGTGTTCAAAGATGGGTGAAACATTTTAAAGATGGGAACACCAGCATCGAAGATGAGCCTTGGAGCAGTCGTCCTCGAACAGCCTCAACTGAATGCAACAAGGAAAGAGTGGATGACGTGTGTATGATTGTGGACACAATAGCCCGAAAACTTGGAATAGGGTACAGTGCAGTACAGGAGATGATTGAAAGCTTGGGCTATAGGAAAGTTTGTGCTCGTTGGGTCCCGCGGTTATTGACCGAAGACCATAAAGGTCAGCAAAAAGCCATCACCTCAGAACTGCTGCACAGATATCAACACGAAGGTGATGATTTTTTGCTCTGTATTGTCACAGGTGACAAAAGCTGGTCTCACCATTTCAAGCCTGAGATGAAATGGCAGAGTATGGAATGGCACCATTTGCTTTCTCCATCAAAAAAGAAGGCAAAGACAGTGCCATCAGCTGCGAAGGTGATGGGCACAGTCTTCTGGGATGCAGAGGGATTTATTCTGGCCAGATTCCTGGAACCTGGGCAAACCATCAATGCTGCTCGTTATGTCCAGACACTGCACAAGCTCCGTTGTGCATTGTGCAATAAACGTCCGGGACAAAACATCATCATCCTGCATGACAACGCTCACCCCCACACCACTCGCCTCACATTGGAAGCAATTACAAAGATGGGGTGGGAAGTTCTTCCACACACCTCCTATAGCCCTGATCTGGAAACCTCCGACTACCATCTTTTCAGATTTGTGAAGGATCAGCTGCATGGACAACGTTTTGAGACAAGGGAGGCAATTCAGAAAGCAGTGCATCAGTGTCTTCGGATGGCTGGAACAGAATTTTACAGAAGGGGAATTTTCAAGCTCCCGGAATGATGGGAGAAATGTGTACAAAGAAGTGGCAATTATGTGGAAAAATATAGAAAGGTCTATAGATTGAGGTGGTGTATTAGGTTCATCAATAATAAAGCATGTTACTTTACAAAAAATTTGTTGCTCATGACTTTCAGTATGACCCTCGTAGATATCATAAGAATCTATTTTCTTTTGCAGCAAGGACATGAGACAGTTCATACTGACCTGCACCTGCCAATGGAACAGAGTGCTACCGGGTCGCCAACAACTGCTACTAGGCTCTGCGCCCTTGTGATGGCTGTGTTCAGAAGCTTCGAATTTGACAAGAACCCATAGTCCATCTCATCTCCCCCCATTCCCGATTTTGTCCCGGAGTGACATGTACGACGCGTTCTCACTGTGCTAAGGAAAATTGCTCGGAACTGTTTGCCTGAAACATTTATAAAGAAGTGGAATGAATTATCGGATCTGAGATTCTCATGTCAGTGCACTATGAACTGTATGGTCTTCTGGACTTTCAACACCATGAACTTTGGTGAAACCCAATGTTTTGGAGGAACATATCAACTACATCTTCAGGGTCAAGGAGGCTGTAGGCTGCCTTAACTGGTATCTATCTACCATACTACATGTTATAATATCCAAGTTCTCACAGCAGCAGTTATAAAGAGAACTACCTTCTGGGATACAACGCTGCGTAGTCCGTTGAAAATCAACCAACATTTCAAAAGAACATAATGCCTTCACCTTTGGGATCAGAGAATGAGGGGTGCAGGAAACTAGAATGAAAGCAGGTTGCAAGCCATGCCTGGAATTTTGTTGAATTTATTCTTTCACCCTGATGGTGAAGACAATATGTTCTGACACATGGTGGACTCTCAATGGATTAAAAAAGTAAAGTAAAGCTATTCCTGTAAGAGGCCATGAAGGCCCATAAGGTTGTGACACACTGAGGGTCCCACATTATCTAGACAATCGGCTCAAAGATGGCGGCAAGGTTGTCAGCCTTACGTGCCAGCCACCCTTTACCCCCCAGGAAGATTCCTGGTACTCATTTTTGTTAGAGGCTGAGTCGACCGCAGGGCCATAGCATGGCTGGAAGGATTACGTCAATTGAAACAAAATCCAATGATCTCATTGGGACTTGAACCCATGACCTTCCGGCTTGTAGCATAGTGCCTCAACCAACTATGCTACCGCATGCCCCCACTCGATGGAATGCATGGTATTATATGCCAAAAGACAGTATTCTTCTTAGGGTTTGTTAAATCAAAGATAATGTGATACACTGAACATATAGCTCAGATGGGAAAAATAATATGAATACAGAATTCTAGTAGGGAACCTCTTGTGGTTGCTGTTGAAGATATGGAAGGCTGTGATTATGATGTACACTGGGGAAATAGGCTGCAAGGATACAATGATGGAACTGGAAAAAGACTGGACACAATGGTGGGCTTTGATATCAGCAGGATTAAACATCAGATTGTCCATCAGTGAAAGTGTGTGTACAAATACCAGAGCGATCCCCAACATTGATTAGTCAAGAATCCATTAACTGTTGCTTAGGGAGGAATTATTTTTATAGTGAGTCATGGACCGCTAAAATTCAAATTTCATCCTCAGCATCTATTGTCAATAAAGCTACTGTAAAACATGTGGTCAGTTTAAAATATACGAGCAGTACTGCTATGCAAGACTTGTAAGCAAACATCTATTCTAACCTTGCACATTAAGAACCCTTTCCACAGAGATACCTCCCATGCGGCGCTTGCGTAGTTCAGATCGGATCCGGAATACCTGGTCAGCATAAGGCGTCATGATTCCAATACTCTGGTCATCCATTTTACCCCAAGCTGCAGGCCACTTCTTCTGCAGTTCACAAACCCTCTCCACCACTTCATATACCTGTACATTTTGTTCAACAAATTACAAACACAAAAATATGTTTGACACCTTAATTTCTCTAAACCTAATCATATTCTACCAAAATATGATAGAACCAACCAATACTGTTCCTCGACAAGTCAATCTGAAGAAAAATGAACACACAGTATATTTATATTGTGGCCTATAGATCTGTTGCTAGGCAACGAGTGTAGAACAAACAACAAGACAACAGCCCATAAACAGCAACAGAGGAATGGTGTTTTCTGTGCAGTCCATACAGAGATGTTATAAGCGGGACAGTTAGTGAGAGTCCATTGAGTTAAGTCAGTCAGTTGAGATGAGTTGAGTTAGTTGGCTGGTGAGTGACTCAGTTGGTCAGTGAGATACAGAATTGCTAAGGTTCAGTTGCTGAGAGCTGTTACTGTGTGAAGCTCACTGCTGAGGCTGGGGATAGTGCGAGCCACTACGAGCAATTGCTAGTGAAGATGCGACTCTATGCACGTGTGCTGTGTGTGTGTGTATGTGTGTGTGTGAGAGAGAGAGAGACAGCAAATTGTAAAGTGCAGTCACGCTGTATCAACCAGCCCAATAAATCCAATGATCAACCTAAGACTCCACCTACCGTCACACTTACACACATGACAACTGCGTCAGAAGTGGAACTGGATTGGAATGACCAGATTAATTGGATTGGATAAAACTGATTCAATCAAATTGTGGCAAGCTGGAATAAATACTGGAACGCATGTTCGCTGGTCAGGAACAAATGATGAAATGCCTGAAAGCCAAGACAGAAGCCAGTCAAGAAAGGATGGAAACAAAGATGAATGTTGGTCAAATACAGAAGTTAGCCAGGATGGATGTCTTTGGACAGAAGCTGAACAAAATGAACAACTCTTGGAAGACCTGTCTGGAAAAGAGGGTGGCCAAAATTGAGACTGGCCTGAAATAAGTGAAGGTCACAGATCTGGAGGCCAATCTAGAAGAAATAGTGGCTGTAGTGGAAACTATCAGAGTACTGGAGGGCTGATATGGGGACCAGCATGTAGCTGTAGGGCACTGCAGAAAGTCAAAGAAATGGACTCAGGGTGATGGTGGGTCCCAGAAGTTGGCCACCGCCCAAAGATGAATGACACGCCATGAAATTCCTGAACTGCACCAGGAACACATCAGGGACAATGTTGCAAAAGGAGCCCCTAAAGGACGGACACAACTGGTATGCAAAAAGGAAAAACGGACTGAGGTGCAAGATCAGCTACATCTAGGAAGTGAGAGGGCATTCAACAAGATGAGGTTTGGATTGGTAACTGAATTTATTGCACTCCTACAGACCAGCGACTACAAGTAATTATAACCATTTCACTAATTCACACACTTCACAGTTCACTAGAGTACGCACTTAAGTCCTCTCAGTCTGCTGTGTCTTCACCTGTCTTCTGGTAATGGCTTCCAATGGCAGACATTCCCCTTCCTTTGGATTCCGGAACTGTCCCCATGCCTCAGCTACAACAAACTCTCCACTAACTGACTAACTCACCAGCTACTCTTCAATTGACTCAACTCAACTGACTCTCACTAACTGTCCTGCTCTTGGCACTAAACACACAGAAAACACCATTCTTCTGTTGCTGTGCCATTGTTGTGTTCATGTTTGCTGGGGTCCCCATTATTGTTGTATCCAATTGTTGCCATGAAAACACACTTGTTTGCAGACCCGTTACTTAGCAATGGCTGTTGTATATCTGCTTATTCTGCAGTCTTTGCCTAGCAATGGATCTACATGCCACAATATTAAAATAAATCAGCACTTTAGCTCAAATATACACAGAGAATACGACAATGATAAAGTAAGAAAGATAACTGAAATTAACAAGATACGAGGGTCGATCAATAAGTACCCGTGTTAGGAATAAAGATACAAGTTTTTCACAATTTTTTTTTATTTTTCAATGTAATCTCCTTTGAGGTTGATACACTTTTCCCAACGTTTCTGCCATTTCTTTAACCCCTCCAAAAAATACAATTTGTCAAACTCTTCAAAATACGCTTCTGTCTCGGCGATAACCTCCTCGTTTGAGCTGAATTTTTTTCCCCCGAGCCATGTTTTCATATTGGGGGAACAGAAAAAAGTCGCAGAGAGCCAGGTCGGGCAAGTACAGTGAGTGTGGCAGCAATTCGTAGGGCAGTTCATGCAATTTGGCTACGACAATTCCGGATGAATGTGTTGGTGCGTTATCGTGGTGAAACAGCACATTTTTCTTAGCCAAATGGGGCCGTGTCTCCTTCAATTTCTATCGAATCGGTCCAATAATTCACTGTAGTACTACCCCGTGATCGTTCTTCTTTTCTGCAAAAAGTCCATGAGGATTATTCCCTTCGAATCCCAAAAAATCGTGGCCATGACCTTTCCGGCCGATGGGACCGTCTTTGTCTTCTTCGGAGCAGATTCACTCGGAAGAATCCATTGTTTTGACTGTTGCTTGGTCTCTGTCGTATAATAATGTATCCAGGTTTCATCAACGATGACGACTCAACACAAAAACTCCTGTGAATTTCGCTTAAAGAGGTCCAAACACTGCTTCGACATTGACAGCCGTATCTGCTTGTTGTCCACCGTGAGCAATCGCGGCACCCATCGGACCGACACCTTTCTCATACTTAAGTTATCATGTAAAATACTGATTGCAGTTCCATACGACACACCTACAGCCTCTGCTACTTCGCGCACTTTAGTTCGGCGATCAGTGAGAATCATGTCGTGGACCTTTTCAACGATTTCCTCGGTAACGACGTCTGCCGGGCGGCCTGGCCGCTCCTCATCAAAAACAGATGTACGACCACGTTTAAATTCGTTGAACCAATATCTCACAGTTGTCATAGATGGTGAAGGGTCCCCACAGACGGCATCCAACTTCGCTTTTATTTCTTCGCATGTCTTTCCATCCAAAAATAAAAAGCGAATTACGGATCGATATTGCACTTTTTCCATTGTATCAAGAAAGACGAAACACGTCTGATGCAACTGGCTGCCAAATAAAAACTAACCTATGAATCAGTCTGAAATTTAGTATGGTGTCGTTTGACAGATGGCAGTACACGATGGTAATGCAAGCTTCCCTCAGCAACGCCACCTGTCTTCAAACACGGGTACTTTTGATTGACCCTCGTATATATAACCTCATCACTAGAAAGCCATGAAATATGAAGCAGCTGTTGGAAATAAAGCCACATTATTATTTAAACTCTAACACAGTGTAGGACAATGTTTTCTCACACATGACTTGGTAATGTCTTATGCTGAGTTTAAAATTTGCATAAGACAGTTCGAAGGCATTCAAATTTGTTTACATGCTGAAACTCAATTTTTTGTATTTATTTATGTGCAAAAAGATTAAGTTTTTAAGTCCAAAACAATGAATAAATTTTCCCTTGAGCTCAGCAGACTTTGATATTGCTTATTTTTGTGCCCATATTTATTTTTATAGCCTTACGCTTCATAATAAGATGTGTAACATGTTAACTACCACAGAGAGAGCACAAGTGCCACAAACAAGCAACACACCACAATTTTTGTTTCATTTTTACTTCATAAAAAGTATGCAGGGTACTCAAGAAAATATGGTATCGCATCTTTATACTACTGTGAATTGCCACAGACAGTGACAAACATAACTGTACCCAGAAGCTGCAGTAGACATATTAACTTAAACACTTCATGCAACTAGTGGACACACAGCACCGATGTGAAAACATATCCAAGTACAGTGAAACCCTGATTTCAGGGAGCCACATTTTACGTTTTCCTGCATCTAAGGTTCATATTTTTGTGGTCCCAGTCAAAGCTTCATATGCCCATGTACTATTTTCCTTGATTTATGATTTCTCAATTTAGGGCAAGAAAATAAACTTTCATTTCCTATGTACATTCTAGATCTCATTTTCGCACTGAAAGGAATGTTTTCCCATGTTCCAACTCGCATGTGGCAAGCAATGCAGAATGCACAGATTAATAAGGCAGGCTTCTTACCAATCTGTGGTAGGGAGCATGGCTGTCCCTGACCCTTTACTGTTTGTCCTATGTGTTAGTTTGTAGTGGTTACTCTTTGCTCTTTTTTGTGTTGTGTTCAAGTGCCATTTCTTTTATGGTAGTAATTTTTTAGCAATGGATGACCATGGTATTGAAAAGAAAGAAGTTAACAACAAATGGAAGAATGGAAATTATTCAGGTGGCGGAAAAGAATTCAACTGTCACAAAATGAAACTGCAAAATGTTTTGTGCTGCCTCTATTGTCATTAAGTAACATACGTGGTGTGTTCAAAAAGTATTGAACCTTCTTTTTTCCGGCGTAAACCAATGAAGATCGGGAGGCTCCCTTTGGTGGAGATGTGGAGGGGACATTCATGCGCAGTCATGAATTTTTTCCCGCCCGCAGAAAGCGTCAGTCGCAGGCAGTCGGCCCATGAGTGAGGACGTGTAGTGAGCGCTCATCGGATTCCAGTATGGTGTAAAATGACGGAACAATATGAGCAGCGATATTGCATCAAATTTTGCCAAAAGATTGGCGATACCCAAGTGGAAACTATTCGCAAGATTCAACAGGCTTTCGGGGACGATGCCATGAGCAACTCACGGATAAAGAAGTGGTACAACCGCTTCAAAGATGGCCGCACATCAGTGGACAGCGAACCGCGTTCAGGCAGACTCTCAACAAGACGAAATGAGAATGTCATTGAGCAAGTGCGGACTTTGGTCATGGAAGACCGTCGTATCACAGTCCAAGAACTTGTGAATGAGATAGGGGTAAGAATTGGATCGGTACATTCAATTTTGACCAAGGATTTGAGCATGAGGAGAGTGTCCGTGAAATTCGTACCGAAACTGCTAACAATGGCTCAGAAGCAACGCTGTCTGGAAATAGCACAGGACATGCTGGACAATGCAAACAGTAACCCCAACTTTCTGAACACTGTGATCACAGGCGATGAGTCGTGGGTTTATGGGTACGACCCGGAAACCAAGATGCAGTCGTCACAGTGGAAACATCCGACATCCGCGAGGCAGGTCCGCAGCAATGTCAAGGTCATGTTGGCCATTTTCTTCGACTCCCGTGGGGTTGTGCATCATGAGTATGCACCACAAGGCCAAACCTTCACAAAGGAATACTACCAGGAGGTCCTTTGTCACCTTCGTGATGCTGTGCAACGCAAACAACCGGATCTGTGGGCAGCAAGAACTTGGCAGCTCCATCATGATAACGCACCCACCCATTCTGGACATCTGATTCAGAATTTCGTCGCCAAACAAAACATCCCTGTGGTTCGTCAGGCTCCCTACTCCCCCGACATGGCTCCGTGTGACTTTTGGCTATTTCCCAAGCTGAAAATGCCGCTGAAAGGAACCCGATTTGAGTCAAGAGAAGACATAATGTGGAATGTGACGGCCCGGTTGATCACCATTCCAAAAGACGTGTTCCAGAAGTGTTTCCAACAATGGCGGAAGCGCTGGGAGAAGTGTGTGCATTACCAAGGAGACTACTTTGAAGGGGATTAGGGTTTTGTACCTCCAAATCAATAAATGTATCTCTGCTGACCAAAGGTTTGATACTTTTTGAACACACCACGTAATTCTACAAAAAGCTTCAATTCTGGAAGAGGGACATTGGTGTGGGGAACAAACTCAGAGAAAAAAAATACTTATTTTATTAAATAAAGAAGGTTCAGTGTCTTAACATTAATTTAACCAAGTTTAACAATTATTTTAGGCCCTGTTTTCATACACCCCCATTTAAGGTACTAAAAGTTTGTTCCCCTGACAGGGTTTCACTGTATTATAGAGAACAGACTGGTAACTGCTATGGGATGAGGTAAGCAGTCTGCAGAACAACACTGACTACCATGCAGCATGGTACGGTGTGTAAATTTTCAGACATTTTAAGTAGTACATTCTTGTGGAATCTGATAAATACTGTATAGTCTGCCTAACCTCTGAATTATTGTAGAAGGCTGTAGAATTTAGATCTTGCACATCTTCACCTCGTGTTGTGAAAAAAGTAAGAGGGTAAAACTTTTCATGTCGTGGTTGCTTTGAACTGCTGATTAGCTTCTGATCATAAAAGAGCTCTGAAGTAAACTGAAATGAAAAAAGACATGTAACAGCACATCACCTTAATGTAAACCACTGCAAAAGCTCAGCATCTATGGCTTTTGCTTTGCAGTTAAGTTTATTCTCTTCTCACATACCCATCTTTATGCAATCTGGAAGAATGATGTTATTTAATTGTAAATAAGATTAAACTGTTATGCACTAAAACTGTGGCAAGATGCAATTCTTTGCATCCAGATTTAGAATCAGCATATAAAAATCAATTTAAAAAGTTACTTTCCATTTATGTTTCTGTACCCTCATTGACTACTGCCACCTTTCAGTTTTTGTTGTATTCATTACTATAAATTTGAAGGCTCTATTATGGTCTGGAGAACAAGCACTCTGTCAAGAAATGAAGACATAACATTTCAATATCTCAGTTTCCTAGAGTCTTCTCACTGAATTTAATTAAACTGCTCCACCATCTCACATGTAAAACACTAGTAAGTTGCACAGGTATCTATAAGATCCAGATTATTGGTAAAAGTAAAGGTATTCCTGTAACACGCCGTGGTGGTCCATAGGGTTGTGAGATGCGGAGGTTCCCACATTTTCTAGACAAGCGGCTCATAGATGGTGGAAAGGTTGTCAGCCCTACATGCCAGTTGCCCTTTACCTCCAAGAATAGTCCAGGGATATTCCTGTTACTCATTTCTGTTAGAGGTCGAGTCGACCCCAGGGTCATAGTGCGACTGGAAGGATTAGGTCAATTGAAAAAATCCAATGACCTCATTGGGACTTGAACCCGCAACCTCCTGGCTTGTAGCATAGTGCTTCAACCAACTACATTACCACGTTCCCTCCAGTTTATTGGCATGAGATTATACTAACAGCACCTCAATATTTGATATAAATGACACATTTAGGTTACAGAACTCACTTGTATAATGGCTTCATGTGCTCTGTAGTTCTCACATAGTAATATTTTACATGGAAATGTTGTTGGGTAATGATCATACAATCGTTCCAGAAGAGAGACATGTAGATTTCGCTCTTTCGCAAACTGAGAGAACAACTCAGGAGACAACTGCAACATAACAAATTGACACACTGAGTTAAAGTACACCTGAATTATTAGAACTGACAGCTTCAGATTTTCTAATCAATGGTAACAAGAAGAGAAACAAGCTCTTTCATCCTCTCTCCTGCTCTCAATTAGGCTTTTGAGATGATGGTTGAAGTGCCAGAAAGACAGGAACACTGTTGCAACAAAGCAGGAAATTAATCTTTTAATTACTTCATTAAGTTCTTAAAAGCATAACATTGATTTTTATGTGGTCAACAATAATGGGGAATAAGATCTAAAAGTTTGTGATGTTGGTAAATTGTTACAATTAATATTTTGCTGGACATTATCCATCATCTTGTCTATTCTAAAAAACAGTCTAATTTCTATTAAAAAACACAACGTTTCGGGAACTGGATTCTGTCCCCGTCTTCAGGTAAAACCTACTCAGTTGGGTCCAATAGACAGAGCTAGCCCCTATCTCTGGACCAGAGATAGGGAGATAGGGGCTAGCTCTGTCTATTGGACCCAACTGAGTAGGTTTTACCTGAAGACGGGGACAGAATCCAGTTCCCGAAACGTTGTGTTTTTTAATAGAAATTAGATTGTTTTTTAGAACAGACAAGATGATGGATAATGTCCAGCAAAATATTAATTGTAATAATGGGGAAATTCGTTCTTTCTCCAGTTTTCTAATGTATTGTAACTAACACACTAATTTCAAAGAAAAACACAAAAACCCCTCATCCCCTCATGGCAAGAGAATCTAATTTTCAAGGCTCAATGTCCTTGAACACAACTGGAAAGAGAAGAACTATGTACAGATGTAATCAATATGTGCAAACACTTGCTTTGGAGAGAAAGAGATGGAGAGGATTGCTTTGTATAAAATCAACATAAAAAAGGAAACATTAAAGGAAGAAGAAAGACAAAATGATAATCGCTATGGTATGAAAAAAATGGAGTTTCTCTGCTCCAGAATATACAGGCCCTGTCCCTTTATAATAACACTTACTCTCATTATAACTTACGTGCTTTCACTATCCATGTTTTTATTGGATCATGAGGAGCATCGCTATTATCAGTTAACAACTTTTGCATCCATCAAATATATGACTGGAAAGACAAAAAGAAGTGAACGAAAGACAGAAAATAAAAAAATTAATACATCAAGTTAAAAAAGGTCTAGAAAATCCCATTCTTCAGAAGCTGATGAATCTATGGCACTGGCAGCCATTGCACAAACAACTGGTGAAGACACAGCAGACTGTTTTGTAGTTAATTGTAAAGAGTGTGAACTGGTGACAGTGCTATAATAACCTGTAGTTATGAGTTACGAGAGCCCAATAAATCTGATTACCAGTCTAAACCCCATGTACAGTCACTTAACACATGACAATATAAAGGAGAAAATGGTTTCAATGTAAAAACTGTAAATTGGTCAAAAAATCTATGCATTATCAGCCAGAACATCAAACTGTCATTGGTTTTCAGCCATGCAATGTGAATTCATTCAATACTAATTTCTAAGACATTTTGCCAGAAAAGTGGGGCACGCGGTAGCGTAGTTGGTTCAGGGGCTATGCTACAAGCCGGAAGGTCGCAGGTTCAAGTCCTGATGAGGTCAGTGGATTTTTTTCAATAGACCTAATCCTTCCAGCCGCACTATTGCCCTGGGGTCAACTCAGCCTCTAACAGACGAGAGTACCAGGAAGTAATTAAATAATTTTCCTGGGGAGTAAAGCGGAGCCGGCGCATAAGGCTGACAACCTTACCGCCAACTTTGAGCCGATTGTCTAGATCAGCGTTGGCCAACCTAATACATCTCGAGGGCCAAATTTAGTTTATAGAACACCATCAGGGGCCAGATACAGTGTTTCTTTCAGACGAGTGGTCGGGGAGTATTGTCCCCCAAACTGAATCAGTCACAACCCGTGTAAAAACAAGTGCATTTGAACCTATGTATTTAAATTTTACGTTTGCACCAATAATATTAAGCCGATTATAATGATTATACCTAAATCCCCATATACACACTGTTTTAATGAGAGCACTGTAGTTTCATAAAACTGGAAACCAATGATATAAAATCCACTTCTAATTGTGAGGTTGCCACTCGAAGAATATGCGATAACACGACATCTGAAAGTCTGTTCCTGTTCTTAGACTTTACATGCTTCAGTGATGAAAACGCTGTTTCGCATATGTAAGTACTTGCAAAAACAGAGCAAAGTTTGAGAGCCAAATTTCGTAACAGTGGGTAACGTTCTGGTGAAAGCAGTTTCCTAAAGTCAATTCCAGTAACCTGAGATGTGTTTAAAGATGGGTCACATTGAAGTTCACAAAGCTCTAATTGCAGATGACCTGGCTGAGATTCTATATCACAATGTATAGGATTACTGAATAAAGAAATATCAGGTCGAAAGCTTTCAAAATCGTTAAATCGTCGGTCGAACTCTGAAGACAAATCTTCAATAATTTCAGTGTAGTCCCTAAACTCCAAGCCTTCTTCTTCTTCTGAGAGTTTCCGACAGCAAGGGAAATGTAGAAGGTTATTTTTGTCCAATGCAGACTTAAATAAATGTAGCTTTTTACGGAAACTGTCAACAAAGCCAACCATCTGACATATTGTCTGCTTCTTGCCTTGCAATTGCAGATTCAGGACATTCAAGTGTTGAGTGATATCAGTGAGAAAGGCCAAGTTTCTCAAGAATTCGACGTCTTCGAGATCATTCTGCAGTTCAGCAGAATTCGTAACCTCTTCTCTTAGGAATGTTGCTATTTCATGACGGAGTTCAAAGAACCGTACCAGACATTTCCCACGGCTTAATCATCTTACTTCAGTGTGCAGAAGCAGGTCCCCGTAAGCAGAATCCATTTCTTCCAAGAGGGTCAGAAATTTTCTGTGAGTGAGTGATCGATTTCCTCCTCTGATCAAATTAGTAATTTTTGTGACAGTAGCCATGGTGGTAGACAGTTTAATTGATTTGGCACATAGAGCCTCCTGATGTATAATACAATGCAAGGTAGGTACAGTAATTTGATTCTGTCTTAAAAATCCAACAAAACCGCTTATTGTCCCTGTCATTGATTTAGCGCCATCTGTTACTATGGAGGACAATTTTTCAAAACCACCGAATTCCTCCACTGCACTCTTAACAGCGTTAAAAATATCGACACCTCTAGTTGTGCTGTGTAAAGAGCACACTTTTAACAACTCTTCGAAAATTGTAAAATCTTCCTTAATTGCACGAACAAATATCAGCAACTGATTAGTATCCGAAACATCTGTGCTTTCGTCGAGAGCAATTGAGAAATAGGAACAATTAGCGATAATGTCTTTCACATTATTAGATATCTGGTTGCTAATATCTTCCAGCCTCCTAGTAACAGTCTGTTTTGAAAGGGGCACTGTTTGAAATTTGTTTCCTACCTTATTTTCATTGAAAGCTTCTGCCATCTTTATCGCACAGTTCTTAATTAATTCACCATCACTTAACGCTTTTTTAGCTTTCATTAATTCATATGTCACGAAATAAGAAGCCAGCAAAGCTTCTTCTTGTTGTTTTGTTTCATTGGTAAAAAGAGATTTCTGCTGGAAAAGTTTTTTCTTTAACTGATCGCAGACTACTTTCCTTGATTCACAAGAGTGTTTTCCGAACTTCTGTTTATGATTTGTCATGTAATGCCTCTTTAGGTTGTACTCCTTTAAAACTGCTAGCACTTGAAAACATACTAAACACTGTGGCTTGTGGTCTTTATTTAATATAAAAAAATAGTCATGTTCCCACTCAGATTTGAACGCCCTATTTTCGCTATCAACTTTTCTCAATTTACTATTTGACATGCTGTATCACTTACAATAACTTCAAACACAATTTTAGTTGAAAAACAGTTCTACACTCACGCTCTGTAATCACACTTCACTTTCTAAAATCGCACTAACTGGGAGACATTTCTGCTAGAACTGGCACGTAAGAAAGGCCAGGACGCCGAGCGAAACGGTAAATATCCCATCCCCGCGAGCAAGCTGGGAATGGTTACTATTTTGAAGGTGTCATAAATCCTTCACCACTACGGTCTTCCTTTCAGTGTTATCTCCCTACAGAAGTAGGGTTGGGGGACTTGGGATTTCCATGACATGAACACAGTTATTAGAAAACAGTTTGAACTGTCCAACTCGGTAAGAACGTATACACTCAATTGCAAAATGCTGTAAGCTAATGAAACGTCCTATTTAAAACTGAATTCTATGCCAATAGAGCTTACGAAGTTAAGATTTTTTAAAATAAACCGGAGACTTGGCAGGGGGGCCAGAGTAAATCAAGTCGCGGGCCGCCAGTTGGCCATCGCTGGTCTAGATAATGTGGGACCCTCATCGTCTCACAACCCTATGGGCCTTCACAGCCTGGTACAAGGATAGCTTTGCTTTGCTTTACTTTACTTTACTTTGTCAGACCAGTATCATTTTGTTTCATGAGGACTATGAGATACTCCTTTCATACATTAGAAGAAATGTAGATATTATAACAGCATTATAAATTTCACAAATAATATTTACAGAATACAGAACAAACTGGAATATGGTGGATAGGATAACCTCTGCCAGGATACCAAAAATGATTCGAAAATGTCATCCTAAATGAGAAAAACATTTGAGAAGACCTCAAAAACAATGAAAGGACCGTTTCATAATATTTTCAAAAGATTCTGACAGGGTTAATATTGTGTAAAGTAATAACAATGACTTGCTTTATGAGTTCTACATATTTATTTGCTGCTCCTATTTCTCTGATATGTATTGAAGAGTAGGCCTATTGACCCTGAAAGGCTGTAATCTAGTGAACTCAAGAACTTCATCCCTAACACTGTACATTAAAAGTTTCATGTTTTACATAGATTCAATATGCACAAGGGTTTTCAGGAACACAATCCCTGCATGTAAGAAGAGTCAACTGTACATACATACACTAGGGGATTCTAAATTTTAATACTGTCATATGGATATCTTTTTTTTTATAATTTATGTTCAGGTTCAAAGGTCCATGGCCTGAACACTAGAAGGAAAAACCAAATTTATATTTCAACTTCAAACCTTTCTGTTTTCCAGAAGGGCACTATGTTTACTCATATTAGGTTATTTAATAGATTGCCAAAGACCATTCGAAATCTTAGAAAGGATAGAATCAGTTTTAAAAATAATTTATTTTAATATCTCATGAATAACTCATTTTATACAGTTGATCAATTATTGGAGCATACAGTAAATAATTAGTTACAGTGTTTGCTTGGCTCTGTATTGTCTTTCTGCTTTGTTTATGTTATGCTTGTGACCAGTTTCATGTCCATTGTATTTTGGACTTGGGAAACGTAAAATATATGTATGTATGTAAAGGGTTTTGATAATGATGTGTAACACTTGGGACTACTTGGTTTTTAGCGCTTATCCATGCTCTGGTATTCTACAAGACACTAAACAAGAAAACATCCAGAAACTGGATTTCTTTCCATCCTTGGGTGAGCGAGTGCAAGATACCTACTCTTTTGGGTTCACTTGAAAGAGCTAACCTCAATGGACCACCTGTCAGTATAACTACAGTATTTGACAACAGGAGATAACAGGAAAATGTACAATACAAATTGCGAAAATTCATGTAGACATGAAACTGTGACAGAAAAGGAAATGGAAATTCAATGCAACAAACCAAGCCAATAAACCAAACCCATGAACACAAACACATGGCAATAATTTTTAGATTCTCATGTTGTAAAAACATTTCTACATACTGCTAGCGCCATCTGAGGAATAAGCAACTGAACCTCAGGACTAAAATCACATAAACACACATGAAAAATCAATCAGATCATACTGACTTTTCCTGTGGGTGGCCAAGCTCATTGCTGAGAAGTGGGTCCATATGGGAGAAATATCCAAACTGGGCTGGCTGATTAGATTGGTTACATTATATCATATGGGCCAATTTCTTTTATTTCCTACACCTAGTGTTCTTTGTAATACCAGAGGGTGGACAAGTCCAAAAACCTAGTAATCCCAAGGGATACATACTAGTTTATAATTCTATATAGAAAATGACAATTTACAATCATCAGCAATGACCTGAAGATGTTCAGAGGCCATGCCCCAGAATACCTGCACTTCAGGCATCATCAAAGATTCTCCTGACCTTACTCCCAGTAAATGTGACCCATGACCCACTACTGACCTGCATGTGATCTCCAGCCAAAACAATTCTTGTATCTTCATTTGCTAATGCAAGTGGCATGATAGCTTCACATTCCATTGCTTGAGCTGCTTCATCCAATAAGATGTGACTGAAATGACCTGCAAAAGTATACATATTCCACATAACAGCCTGTTAAAGAAATGTGCAGTACAAGAATATTCATCTTCCTTGAATTGAGTTCTGTGAGATATTCCAGCTGTACAGGAGAACAGAAACTAAACCACCTAATGTTTGTATGTAAGTTTATACTGTTGACAAGTGTCCAGGGTATTATTATTATTATTATTGGAGGGGGTGGGTTTCCCCATGCACCGCGACCAGTTTGATCTATTGTACGTCCCGCTGTGATATTCTACCAGTCTCTATACCCTACCGGTACTGGTGCGTGCCATCAGTCCCGACTCAGCCAGCGAGTTCGGCCTCTACTCGTTCAGCAATATCTAGATGCTTCCCCCATCTACCAGAGGCATTAGAGACTACTGTTGGGCGGGAAATGTCCGTCAATTTGGCTCAGAGGTCTCCGTGAGACATGAGGTTCTTTTATGTGCCGTAAAGCTATGACACAGAACCCACAGCTTAAAGTCCCTCCCGGAGGACTTGTTCCCTGAATTTTTCCGCCCTTCAAATTTCCACGACCTCCGCCGGGTTTGAACCCGCGTACCTTGAGTCATGAGGTGGGAACATTACCCCTAGACTACGGAGGCCGCTTAGTGTCCAGGGTAACAAACTCTATAACATTTAATTTTCCTTCTGAAGGTTGGCTCCACCTCTTCCATCCCAAACTCACCACTGAACCACTTTAATTCGGCTACCAATGAATCCCTTTTCCTAGTTATGTTGGAAGTGAAGAAATAACAGAATGAAAAAGTTTCCATCATCACCTCTTCTTCTGAACACAGGGTTGTCAAAATATTTTTCCCACCTCTTCTCAGGACAATCTGATTGCAAGAATAATTTCAAAACCCCTTTTCATTAACCATGTGGTCAATAAAACAGTTTTCATCACCTCTTTTCAAGTTCACCTGAATTCCAAAACATTTTTCATTGTGCCTTTCACTAATCACATGGTCACTCCCTATCGGTCAGCATCCTGCTTCTCTATTCGTCAAAACATGGCTTCACCTCCAACACAGTGCCTAATGCAAGAACTATTTAACAGCTGCTGACTGCCCCCCTTCCTCTGTTCCTCTAAGTATTTAATGCTGAAGATGGCAACTGCAAAGTTTGCCAATATAATGGAAAATCTTCAACACTATTCAACACAGCCTAGTCCCAAAATCCAAGGTTATATATTATTTTAAAGTAATGTTGACTAATAATGCAGAAACATTAAAAAGTGCACAGCTGAAAACATCAGTTTATCAAATTTGTTTCTTTTTCCATTTATTACAGAATATGCATATTCATTTCTGTAGGGTTGCATCCTGCTTGTGTCTTCTATAGGATATATATACAGTACATAATACCAACTGTCTCACAAGTGTGTAATAACAATTTACAGATATTTATTCATTTTTCTCACTACATACATCTTTTGACCACATTAGATCATCATGAGGTGAAAACACGAAGAGACCATTGCTAAAACACATATAGACTGATTTTTTGTTAAAATATAATGCTATATAACAGAAAAAATTAGATAAAACAATATGACTTTGTGTTCCACTTCTTGCTGTCTATGTATAACTTAGGTTAATATTCACTCACTCCTTTCTTTCTTGTATATTACTACATGTTTCGGCCTAATTGGCCAAACCTATTATTCACAGATCTCTAAAAGGCAATACAAATATTATGTTTCTGAACATTAACCACTGTCCTGTTTAGACTAGATACTGTCTCTCAAATGCTGTTTTGAAAAATAAACAGGACGGTGTTTTTAGATAAATACAGGATGGCCAGAAACATAATATTTGGACTAATGTACCATAGTCATGAACTTTTATATCTTATCGAAAGGCAATAATTTAGAACTGAAAAAATATGTAGTGCAATATGCATACCTTTCCGCAAACCAAGTGTTGAGAGATACATGGAGATACTGAGAGTCACCACTATCACACGATGTTTCAATACGTCTTCCAGTGTTGGGACTCTGAACGTTCTCACACCTCCATTCATCTCTATTAAACAGTACTAAAGAGAAGAAAAGATCTGTAAGTTCACAATAATAAAAAAAAATTGCAGAGCGAATTCCCAGTTATCCAGTACCCCAGTGTCTAGAACTCTCATGTATAAAAAAAAAAACACACAATTTTTATTTAATTATATGAAAACAAATTTGTGTTTAACCACCATACAGTAGTTCTCCAGCCATCACTAGCAGGAATACCTGACATCCTGCTTCATGCAATTGCCAATACAGCATAGGCTTGATGAAACTGTGATCACATTAGGTATCTATATGAAATCGTTCACCGCCAATTTTCTATGCCACCTACGAAGGCTCCCACTAAGATCTAAAGACAAAACATGTTGTTATGACCTGTATTGGGGTTCTGTAAGAGATTTCTCATGTAACTGGTAGATTCATTTAACCAACAGATCCAATTCCCCACTTCTGTACTTGCAAGGACAAAACAATATTCCCAAGTATTAATTTATCATTTACACCCATTCCCCATATACACAAATTTATAGCATAGACCTTACACATCAAGATAATTTCTGTTATTTTTTGCAGAACTGAAAGATGCTGTTACATTTGAGATTCTTAGAGCAGTGAATACGAAGAGTAGTGGCATCCTGGGATGTGATGCCATGCAGTCTGGTAGGAGGTTACTGACATTTCCCAGGAACATACCTCCACCGCCAGGTACGAAGAGTAAGCCAAGCAAGCAACAAGTAAAGTAAGATGATTACTGCTTGCTCTTTGGCCCTGAAGATGGAGGTAGTTATGTTCCTATGAAACACCAGTGAACTTCTACCAAACTACACAGCATTATATTCCAGAGAGCACTCTCTGAAAACACCAATTTTACACCAAAAACAAGTTTTTGTTTCCTTCACTTTTACTTCCAAACTGTGAATAAAATTGCCAAATTAATATACTAAAATGTAAGAGGAATACAGATTACTATATTCACCTTCTGTACAACCTGATTGACTGTTGCAACCCAGCGTTTATGGTAATAGATTCTGAGTGGGCGTGCCTCCTCGTGACCCGCTTCAACATAAGGATGAAGATAATCTTTGATATAAAGATCAGCAGCACTGCAAAGCAAAGAACATTACACTCAAAAGAACTAGAATACAAATGAAATAATATTTCAGAACTTTCTTGCCATGCTGTTACTGCATTATAACAACTGTTTCAGGCTTTTTACCAAATCTGACAACCACACAATAAAGTAAAAATACCTTTCAACTTATTTTTACTGCCTTTAATGTCTAAAACTGCTCTGAAGTTGCATCAGCACCAGAGAGTGGTGTATTATTATTTTTTTATTGCTAGTGGGGTGGGACTAAGTCCCTTGTACTGCGGCCACTTCTGGTCTATTGTACCAGCCCCAGATGATAGGTGAGGGTGATTGTGGAGCAATTGGTGGAATGACAATTGGCAGGGGAAACCGAAGTACTCGGAGAAAACCTTCCCCAGCGCCACTTTGTCCACCACAAATCCCGCTTGACCAGACCCGGGATTGAACCCGGGCCGCCATGGTTGGAAGCCTCCGACTAACCGGTTGAGCTATGGCACGGCCCTATAGAGTGGTGTATCTTGTTATGTTCTCATCATAAAGCTACTGTACTTGAGCCAGCCAAAGAATTTTGACAGATAATGGGGACAGGAGTTGCTAGAAGAGGGCTCTCTTTTCCCACTCTACCAACCTTGCCTGCCTGTCAGTGCCACTCGTCTAATGATGCAGAATGAGTAATTCAGCCAATGGAGTTACAGTGAGGGCAAAACAGGTGGGGAGGGTAGACAGAGCAGGGGATGATCCATGAGAATTCTCTGCTTGTCTCCACTACAGCCTCTATTCCAAGAGTATGATAGGACCAAAATTCACCACACTGGAGATCTCACTGAATACAGGAATTTTCTTCCATAAGGTTGCCTACTTAAGGGATTATGTACCCTCAAAGATGTCTTAGACAGGCAATGAGACCAAAATCTGTATACAAAGTTAAACAATCATGTCACAAATCTCACCTGTTGGAATGTGTGCATACTAGCACACGAGTATCAGGCTGAAGTATAAGTTGTTTAATGGCTTGAGCCAATGTATACGTTTTACCAGTACCAAATGGTCCTAGAGAAAAAGTAAAGGTATCAAACACAAAATAATAAAATGAGGTACAGCATGTAATAATAATATCTTAGGAAAAGTTATGAAACAATTAGAAAATTGGTTCTTGACAAACAATCTTATAATAAATATGGAAAAGACCAAAAAGGATCTAGCTCAATTCATAGACCCATTATGTATTTTAGTAACAAAGAAATAACTTATTTATCAAATTTAAAATTTTTATGTATTTATATCACAGCAAGCTTACGTTGGGCCACTCATGTACAATACCTTTGTCAAAAACTAAACAAAGCTACTTATTTAATTAAATCCTTATGAGACTCAGTAAGTATACCTGTATCAAGTATTTATGTTACAAAAGTTGAAATCTATACTAAAATATTGTACTATATTGGGGGGGGGGAGCAAATGACAGTAACGCAGTATTTAAAATACAGAAAAAAGGTCTAAGACTTATTAAAGGAGTTAAGCTGTAGAGGTTTGTTTGGTGATTTTAAGATCTTAACTGTAACTTCATTATACATATTTGAGATCTTGTGCTCTATAAACAAGAATAAGATGTATATGACTCAATATTCCAATATTCATAAGTGTAACACCTGGAAAGCTTCGAAATGTGGTGTTGGAGAAGGATGGAGAAGATCAGTTGGACCGATTATGTGAGAAATGAAGAAGTGTTAATTAGAGTCAGTGAGCAGAGGAATATCCTACACGAAATAAGAAAACGGAAGGCTAATTGGATTGGTCATATCTTACGCAGTAACTGCCTTCTAAAGGAAGTTATTGAAGGAAAGAAAGAGGGGTGGATAGAAGTGACCAGAAGACGAGGAAGAAGACGTAAGAAGATGCTGGATGACCTTGGGGACAGAAGAGGATATTTTCATTTGAAGGAGAAAGCTCTAGATCGCATCAAGTGGAGGAACTGTTTTGGAAGGGACTGTTGACCTGTCATCTTGACAGATTACTGATGAATGAATGAATAACACAAAAGAGGAAACAGGATTTGTATGTTCAATTATGTAACACTGCTCATTGTAAAAAATTACAATTAACACGTGAATAAAAATACATAAGAACTAGGAACCGGATTTTTATACCCTAATAATCCCTTAAATATGCATGCATTTATGCATGAAAAACTTCCGAAATATGCACTTGGCAATTTATACCTTTTCAACTTTGTAATAACAATCTGAACCTCAAAAGGGCTAGGATCAGATACTAACAGCTCAGCTGTATGTATTTCTATCTGCCTACCATCACTGACCCTACGTACATTCAATAATTGAGAGAAGTAGTTCTTCCACCTGTTCAAAATGTTGTGGGAATCTGCAAACACATTATCATTCTCAGCAAGCTGTCTGACATTTTACAATTATCACAGTTCTGTTCATTAAACCAAACTTTTCCCACTACTGCCCAGCTTCTCTTATAACAAATACAGTTTTCCCAGCAGCAACAAAATAGTATAAATAGTGTTGGCTTTTCTGTGTTATTCTGGTGTAACAGCCGACAGAATGGCTAATGCTGCTTTTGTAATGCATACGATGCACAGAACTACTGTGCCTCATGCTGCAATGATGCACCTGTAAAACCAATAGCCTATTCTGAATGAAACATATATATTGTGACATGTTGCGCAACGGACAACCCCTCCCTCCCCCAGCAGTAATGTGGCAGCTCTGACCACGGTGATGTAGCCTCCCAACCCGGGCTGCGTGGCACCACTTCCTACTGTGACGTAACACACAACGCCGCAATTGCTATGTACCCGTAAACAACTCCCATCATTGTGGCTAGCAACACGGTGCCAGACAACAGTGGTGCCTATCACGTGGCTGTTTTTTGCGTTGTCCGGAACGAGGGTTTATAAGGGAACTACACAGCCACCAAAGACAGTCTAAAGCGTATCAGCTGCCGAAGTGAGTTCTCAAGTCAGCAGCCTACGAGTTAAGTTGGAATCTAGCCAGCAGTGAGCAGTAAGGAGTAAATTGAATTGTAGTAGTCACCGATTTCAGTTGTAACGAGTGGATCGTGACAAAGTGAACTGATTTGTGTGTAGGGTATGTAAATTGTGTAAACCCGTAACATTGTTATAATTAATTGTAACCGAGATTTGTAGGTTGTTAAATAAACCAATTAACAATCTCTACGGCATATTCAGTAACGAAACACGTTACAATATACTGCCCCATAAATGGGTAGCTGTTGTGGCTGCACTTTCCTGTTTCTCTGCACGTGATAGAGTCCCGAAGCTGGTACATTAATTAATTTCATGTAATTACCCCACAAGATTTCTTTCTCTTGTAACTTATCTTAATTATTGCACTGTAGCCTTGGTCTGTGGAATAAGAGCTACACAATATAGGTCACAAAAATTATATAAGTCCAATTACCTATGATAAGAATAGGCGGCAAGGGACAGTCAACAGGCGTGGTGATGGCAACTATCGCTTCCTTTTGTTTCAAATTCAGTCTACTGTCCAGTATGTCACTCCACTGCCTGTATAACAGGACACAAAATAATATATTATTAATGGTAAAACCCTGAGCACATATTAGAAAATTGGTTCCACGAGGGGTAGTAAAAACAGTAAAATATAAAAATGTTGATGACAGCAGTTTCAGCTAAAACATAGAATAACAAATTTTCTTTTTTGATACATGCATAAAATAAGCTGTTTCTTACTTAAATCAAGTATGGTGAGTACAAAAATAGCAGTCACAACACGCAGGTTTTTTGGTGTCCATAATTTTTGTTTTTTGTATGCAAGACATATGAACAAACATACCAGTTATTATGCAATTCTGAACAAAGAAGACACTTTCATTCACCAACACAACACTATTTTCTTCCATTATGGCTAACACACAGTAAGAGCACCAAAAAAAGGTGACAAAGAACTGTTTTGGTTCAAGTTGCAACATGCAAAACTTTTGTTTTCTGATTTGGGATCAGCAAATTATAATTTATTTAAATATTCTGTATTCCTTTATATTCCTAAAATCTCACTGACTAGGGTAATTCACTAAACTAACCAATGAGGTGAAAACCTCATTAATATTCTATAAGTTTAATTTGCAACCATTTCATAAATACAGAAATATATTACAATTACCACAAAGCAACATACTACATTTCATTTAAAAGCAACGTATAATTTTTAACATTATCTGGGTACACAAAATGGAGTCATCTATAGGTAATTACCTTGGCCAATAATTTGTAATAAGTTTTTTCATTCGAAATAATAAGAAATACATGTAAAACAGTATAACAGCCAAAACTATTCAAGCAGCCAGCACATGATTTTCTACCTGATGTTGCAATAATTTCTAATTTACATGAAATTCCAAAATTATTGTCAAGCAGAAATTAATGCTGTCACTTCCATTCATCAGAATGCATATTGTGACATGTTGAGCTATGGATCACCCCTACCTCCCCAGCGGTACGTGGCGGTAACGTAACGCTCGCGTTACTACGGTAATAGGCGAGTTCCCGCCCCGCCACTCCCCTCCGCTGTAACGCGC